GACGACTGGGAAGAGCCTGATGCGGATGTGGCTTATGAGCCAGCAGCCTACGTGAATAGGCATGTGAGAAGAGAACCAGCAGCAATAGCAATGACAACACAGGTCACTACAAAGGTGCCCCCATCTTATGATGGAAAGACTTCATGGTTTTCCTATGAGGATGCCATAGACGATTGGTGTGATATCACCGAGCTGGAAGATGAGAAGAGAGGACCAGCATTGAGAAACAGATTAGAAGGAGAAGCAGCTGTATACAAGCGTGTTTTAGACAGAGATGCATTGAAGGCAAATGATCCACCAGGAGCCGGCGTAGAATATTTCAAACGAGTACTACGACCATATTTCGTGAAAGGATCAACCAATGTATTCCTGTATAGGTTCATGCAATTCGTGCGCTTCAATCGAGGATCAGCTGACATGATGAAATGGATGACAAGATTCCAGATTTTACTCCAAAGGCTTATGAGCAGTTGGATGGACATGTTAGAACCAGTCACTCAAGCACATCCACAAGTCCTAGCTCAGATGCAGGCAGATGCAGCGTTGACTGGAGCAGCACCAACGGCAGAAAGGATTCAGGAAATCATGCAGACCATCAATGGCAATATGAGAACTTTTCATCAGAACGAATTTCCTCTAGGAGAAAATCTCATTGCCTTACTCATGCTGTCACTTGCAGATTTGTCTCAGGACCAGCGAAACACTTTGACTTCTTTGATGACTCATCGTGGCAGGGTCCTGCAGCAGTATACTACAACAGAGTTGAGGACAGTGTTCATCGAGATGTTCTGCACGACAAGGACTTCAGTAGACAATCCTTTGATGCAGCCAACAGGTGCTGGAGGTAGAAGATCATTTCTCGTACTAGACGAAGGAGAACTCGATGGTACATTTGGCTATTGGGCCGAAGATGAAGAAGATGGAACAGAAGGATTTTTAGATGCCCTGGACGATGTCTTTTGGGTATATGATGATCAAAACTTCTCGTGGTTCCAAAGGAGATTCCAAGGAAGAAGAGCCAGAAAAGGCAAAGGAAAAGGAAGAAGAAAAGGAAAAGGTAAAGGAAGATCAGGCCGCAGATTCTTCAGACCTCGTGGAAAAGGAAAAGGAAAGAGACGAGGTAAAGGCCATTTTGCTGATGAGCAACAGACAACTTTTCCAGATGAATACTTTGAAGAGAATCCTTATGAGGACACTTGGGAGTCAAACCAAGTAGCATATGATGCCATTCTTGCCGAAGATATGAATGACTATCTTCAAGGAGAATATGATGATGCCAATGACTTTTGGCAACAGCTTGAAGAAGCATGGTTTTCCCACAAAGGAAAAGGAAAAGGCAAGAGAAAAGGCAAGAAAGGAAAAGGAAAAGATAAAGGAGATGGCAAACAAGATGCAAACTATGCAAATCAACAACAGTCACGTTCTTTACCTGCACCTTCAAGAACTTCACAAGCATCAGGAGGTCAACAAGGTTTCTTTGCACATTGTGTGACGGCAGCAGCTGAAGTCCATGACAGTGAGCTGAACTTGCTGTCAGGCATGATGACCTCATGTCAAGATGAAGCTGACTGCGCGGTCAACAATGGTGAGACGATCTTCAATGGCATGAGTGCCCCTGTGAGGTACTCTTTGTCAAAGGAGGTGCTCACAAAGGCTCCTGAGGGCTTTGCGCTTATGAGCGCTGAGGAAGAAGTGAAGGAGATGCAGGCCATTTCATTTTTGACTGAGAATCGCTTCCCGCCGACTATTGCAATCCTGGACATTGGATGCACTAGAGCTATGGGATCAAGGCGAGCAGTCGACCATTTTTGCAACTATGTCGACAATCACCCAGATTGTGGATTATGGTACTCTTTTGAGGCTACCAAGAGCAAGTTTTACTTTGCCAATTCCCAGAAGGCTACTTGCTCTCAGAAACTGGTGATTTACATGTATGATCGTGCATGGACGATCCACCATACAGAGTTCGACATAGTGGAAGAAGGAGAAGTCCCTTTGCTTATGAGCTTGCCACAGATGAGGAACTTAGGCTTTGAACTCAGGCTGACACCTCAACACGCTTATCTGACATCGGTGCCTCTTGGTATCAAATATTTGGAGTTGAAGGTTGCAGCCAGTACTCATCTTGTCTTGGACTTCCAAGATATTGCATGGTATCTGTCTGACGTGAATTTGCAGACTCGGCGCGAGAAGAGTTTTTACTCGCACTTCACTCACTATGAATATGGTCATATTTCTGTTGATCTCAATAGTGATGAAGATGTAGCTGAACATGCATATCCTGTGGTTGACTACTGGGAAGTAGATGTTCACAAGAGAGAACTGATACGTCACCACAAGGATTATAGAAAGATTCTTTTTCCAGCAACTAAGTCCTGTCCTGTAGACACTGACTTACTGGAAGACTTGCGATTGACAATCATCAAGAAGAAGAAAGGAGGAGAAGAGATCAAGAAGCAAGATGATTGGCGCAAGGCAAAATGGAAGGACCTACAAATTGGCTATGAATGGCGTGGTAGAACAATTTTTAAGTTCAAGCCAGATGCCAAAATTCCAGATCTAAGTATCAGGAAGGCTGGCATTGAGCACCGTGGCATTGGTGATCCCGATGCAGTGGTGCGCTCCTCCTCAGAGAAGGTTCCCATTGCAAAGGACAGGGAACCAGGCTTCTCGTCAGAGAAGGAAGGTGCACCATCCAGTGCCGCGGAAAAGCCCGTGCCGCCAAAGTTTCGGTATACTTCCAAGGGTTTTGATCCATTTTGGAAAGGACACAAGTCGAAACCATCTGAGCCTCAGAATGATTTAAAGGGTGATGATCTTGAGGAGTATGCTCCCTCAGAACCACCTGAGAGGCCAGAAGGTGAACTTGTAGAAATTCCTAAAGCATCAAAAGGACAATCAAGTGATAAACATGAACCACTTGAACCAGGTGATGGCGCTCTTGAGCCTAGGCGGATTTCAATCCCATTACCTGGTAGTGAAGTTGTTGCAATGACACCGGCATATAGGAAGATGTTGCAGAGACTGGAGGACAAGGTAGAGCTTTATAAGCTTCATGTGAAGCACTACCATATGAGTCCTACTCAGTTTCGTAGACGTGTTTCTATGTTGAAGCTTCCTGACTCTGTTTTAGAGAAGTATGAATCAGTTGTCAGGAACTGCCGTGTTTGTAACACTTCAGTGGCACCTCCGCCACGAGCCAGAGCCTCCGGTATTAGAGCTTCATGTTTTGGTGATGTTGTTTTTGCTGATCATTGTGAGGTTGAACTTCACAAGAACAAGTATATCATTTTACTTGTTCTTGATGGTGCCACAAATCTTCTCTGGGCTACGGCACAGAAAGACCTCATAGATCAAACCACCATCCAAGCATTGAGGCAGTGGTCTGATGAGAACAACTGTGTTCCGAAGGCCATCGTAGGAGACGAAGCCTTTTTCACCGATGCTTTTGTTGAATACTACAGGTTCCATGGTATACAACAATGTCCTTGTGGGCCAAGAACTCCTTGGCCAAACCGAGCAGAGACAGCTGTACGTTTGTTCAAACGTATGTGGCATGTTATGAAGGTAGACCTGGATGACCCACGTTTTCGTGGTGTTACGGTCAGAGAAGTGGTCAAGAAAGTAGTGTGGGCAAGAAATTGTCAGTTGACTATCAGTGGATATTCAGTGGATATTCACCAATAGAGATAGCAACTGGAAGACGTCCACCAGATCTTTTTGACCTTGAGACCGCAAGCCCTGAGCAATTGTCAGCTAATGCCGCCGCACAAGATCGTACAAATTTGGAACTACAGCGTGTGGCTTTGAGAGCTCATCAAGAAGCACGACAAGCTCAGGACCTTCGAGCAGATCTTGCAAGAAGGACTATGCCAAGTGACGGTCCATATTTCCAAGGTGAGAAGGTTTTTATTTGGACTCAGGATTCATCAAAGTTCAAGGATAAAGGACGTTGGGTTCGTGCCACAGTACTTGGACAAGAAGGAGCTATGGTCCAAGCCAACACTGGTAAGGCAGTGGTACGTGTGAATCAGTCAAAGGTTAGACGTGATCACGATGAGTGGCATGATGTTTCCATTCCGGCATTAGACGATGAGAATCCGGAGAACTTACGTGAAGATCACGAATTGTATGTTGATGCCGAATTCGGAGAACAGTCCTTTTTCTTTTGTAATGATGATCATCCTGATGTTGTTGAGTTACTTCATGGAATCAGTGGATTATCTTGGTTCCTTTCAAAGAATGGTGTTAAAGTTGCATCGCCTATGGATTTCAAGGCAGGATACAACTTTTCCACGTGGAAGGGTCAAGATGCTATTTGGCAGCAACTTGAGAGATTGCAGCCCCACTGTATAGTGATCAACAACCCTTCTCCCAAACAGAACAGAGCTTCTATTTGGTTGCTATGTTGTAATGTGATT